ATCAAAAGAATGTAACCGCATGGGCAACATGCCAAATAGAATCTAGAGAAAAACATTTAACACATTCAAAACATTTAAAACCATGTGAAAACTTTAACAATTAAAAAACTTCAACAACACATATGTGATAACTTCTTACAGCTAGTATTAAATAAATAAAATAAAAACAAATATAAATATAAAATATGAACATATAAAAAACTCTCAACAGGATAAAAAGCACTATGACTAGATGGATTTGATTTTGTTTTTAAAGCTATGCAGACTTATGTTAAAAATATCTATATTAAGCCTATTTATCACAGAGTTTTCCAGTCTAGAGAATCTTGTTAAAGGAGAATAGTAACCATAGTTAGTACGGTGATTTTTAATAGAAAATACCCTATTGCTCCTAATATTACTGCGAGAATGTTTAAACCTATTACCGATAAAAGCTCGGGTGAATCAATCATGATGTTAATTATTTTATATAAAATACACAAGTCCTGCTAATCCCTTCTTTGTTGTAATGTCTGCATATTTAGAAGAGTCTGAAGTTCATCATAATCAATAGAATCATACTTTATACTCAACTTGTAAGCAATAAATTTTAAAAATCTCCTCTGTATTTTCTCTAATTGATATTTACGTTTATCATAGTAGGGTCACCAAACAGGGCTAGCATACTCCAGCACTTGCCTGACAATAGATGAATAGGCATTTCTTAAAGTAAATACATTATTAAAATCCTTCAAACTACGCAATAAAAATCCTAACAACCTCATAGCTCTGTTGGAAATTCTTTCAATGTGCTCTATGAAATTCAATTCTACATCCAAGTGGACACCTAAATCCCTCATGACATAAACTCTCTTCAGATTAATTCCCCTAATTGAATAATCAAAAATAAAAGGACTTTTCATTCTCCGAAAGGACATAATTTTGCATTTGTCTAAATTAAGGTCTAAATGATTCCTTCCACACCACAAATAAAATTGATTAACTTCATTTTGAAGGGTCTCACAGTCACTGATATCTTTAACAATAAGAAATATTTTTTTGTCATTGGCAAAATTTAGAAATTTGCAACTTGTGAAAACCTTCTTAACATCATTCATGAAGAGGTTAAATAGAAGTGGAGATAAATGTCCGCCTTGCAAAACTCCAGAAGGTATATCAATCTCAGTTGAGATAACATTTTCTACTTTAACCTTTTGCTTTCTTCCTGAGAGCTGATCAACAATCCAATCCAAGAAACTACTGTGAAAACCTATGCATTCCAGTTTATTTTTTAGAATCCTATGGTCAACTCTGTCAAATGCCTTGGAGAAGTCTGTATAAACCACATCTACCTGATACCCCTCCTCCAAAACGCCAAACAGAGTCTGTTCAAATTCCAACAAACTTGAAGTCGTGGACTTCCCTTTCCTGAAACCATGTTGTTCAGGAATTATTAAATTTTTAAATAATGGTGTTATTTTGTCTGTTATTATCGCTTCCAGACTTATATAAAGTTAGCAGTGCAAAGTCAGCCGTGCAAAATTTTTATTACTGGAAAAATTAGTGCTAATTAAGTGCTAATTAAATGCCAAGTTCACAAATTTTGTGCTCTTGTAGTTTCCAAGATATGGCCTGCACTGCTAGCTACCCGTTAAAGATAGCAGTGCACCATCCAGGAATAATCCAGGAAAGTGGTAGGGTGATATAAATGATGAAGAAAATTAAATGCTAATTTAATACTACCATTTCCATGAACAAAATCTCTATTTTCAGTTTTTTTTTCAAATATTTTCTAAAAGCAACGCTGTGCACTGCTAACTTTATGCAGTACACATATTGAGTTTTCATGAAAGAAAGGATTGGTAGAGTGTTCGACATAGGAATAATTTAGTGCTAATTAAGTGCTAATTAAATGCCTAGTTCACCAATTTTGTGATCTTGTAGTTTCCGAGATATCGCCTACCTGTTAAAGATAGCAGTGCATCATCCAGGGATAATCCAGGAAAGTGGTAGGGTGATATAAATGATGAAGAAAATTGAATGCTAATTAAATGCTACCATTTGCATAAACAAAATTTCCACCACATTGTTTTTGAAAAATATGGGAAAAAAAGCCGAAAATAGAAATTTTGTTCATGGAAATGGTAGCATTTAATTAGCATTTAATTTACTTCATCATTTATATCACCCTACCACTTTCTTGGATTATTCCTGGATGGTGCACTGCTATCTTTAACGGGTAGCTAGCAGTGCAGGTCATATCTTGGAAACTACAAGAGCACAAAATTTGTGAACTTGGCATTTAATTTTAAGTTTTTAAAATGTTGCACTGCTGACTTTGCACTGTTAACTTTATATACGTCGCTTCCAGTATCTTAGAGAAAATAGAAATTCTAGAAACAGGCCTGTAGTTCTCAATTAGGGACTTATCTCCACTTTTGAAAATTGGAGTCACAAAACTGGTCTTCCATGCTTTTGGAAAAATACCCCTGCTCAATGATCTATTATAAATTTGACACAATAAATAGGAAAAAATGCATATGCATTTCTTCACGATTAAGACAGGAATGCCATCCGGTCCACTACCTAGATGATCTTTTAAATGAAAAATCTTATTATAAACATCCATGACATCAATAGTTACACAGCTCAAGTTAACAGACAGCAAATCACATGAGACATTTACATCTGACTCGTCGTGTTTTTTGAATACAGAGCAAAAGTGTTTTTTAAAGAGCTCAGCAATGTCTTCAGGAGAATCTGCATTCTCGTCTTTCAAAGTCATTAAACTGGGAAAACTATTTGCATTTTGCTTTGACCTAATGTAACTCCAAAATCCATTCCGATCCTGCACCCTATCCTCTATACTATCTAGGTAATTTCAATGGCTGATTGAAGCATATTCCTTACATTTTACCCTTAATTGAGAAAACTCAAGATAATCTTCTAAAGAAGATGTTTCCTTTAATTTTTTGTGTGCAGCTTTCTTTATTAAAATCAATTCTTTCAAGGTGACATCCATCCATTTTGGAAACTTAGGGTTCTTATGCTGATTCACTGGGATTGATATTTTGATAGCATCATAAATGTTTCCATAAAATACTTCAATTAGGTGATCCAAGTCCTCAATCAATAAAATATTACCCCAATCAACCATCGATAATGCCAATTCGAGATCTTTAAAGTTACACAATTTGAAATTATAATAAAAGTAATCAGCTGACAAGTGATCTATTGATTTGTCTATGTTCACCACAAACTCTAATGCAGGGTGGGGTTTATCTAATTTCAGGAGGGGATTATCACATGGAACAATTAACAAATCCCTCCTATTGCTAAAGATTTAGTCCAATTTGAGATTTGGTTGACTTGGCTTAGATTAAAAAATGCCATACAATCTGCCAGGCATCTGGTTTGGTCTGTGATCAACCCAGTTTGCCTGCAACCATCATTGTCATTAACCCACAATACATTTGGTCTGTTGAAATCACCACACAAAAAGACATCAGTATTATCACAGGAATAACTATCAATGACTTGTACAACAATCTTGACACAAATGCACTTAATTTTTAATATTTTGCCTCTGGATAATCCTTAAAATTACATTTCAATATCAATACTAAATTCCTACCCATAGAAAGGATCCTTCTAATATTTCCATAAGATTCCTCATATTGAGACCATTGTAAACATACCCTTTTATTATGTGAGATGAACTCACAAGTTGAGACATAGTCGTAGACAGGGATCTTGCGCTGGAATCACCGCATACGATACACTTTTCTAATAGGATAGAATACCCAACTGTGTCGAAAGCTTTGGCCAGATCCAGAAAAACAGCCATGGTCGGTTGACTCCTATCTAAACCATTGTATATCGTGTTAGGCAAGACGATTAACGCGACAACTTCTTCCTAAATCCAAATCGATTTTTACATAATATATTATTAGGTATTGTATTTTTCAACAAAATCAACCTAAAATGAATGACCTTTTTAAAAGCAATATTAGAAATTAAAGAAATAGGTCTATACTTTGAAACTAATAGCTTACCTGTGATTTAAAAATAAGTTTAAATTCTACTTTTTTTAAACAAATCTGGGCATATTCCTGTGCTAATAATATTACATATCGATGATCTCCGGAATAGGTTCAGCTACAAAAGAACAAAGTGTTTGTTGAACCTCTACTGGTACACCTTTTACATCAGTAGCTTTCCCCTTCTTCAACTTTTTTTTAGCTTTCCCCACCTCGGATTCGTTTGTCAAAGATAAAAACACTGAATTAACGTTTAGCTTTATGTTTTCCCTGTTTTCTTGTGTAGGTATTAGGATTAATTTTTTTAGTCATATCAAGTCCAAGATCATTCTAATATTTATTTATAGCATTCAGAATGTCTTGATGTTCTGTAAAATTTACTCCATTAGGCACGATTTCTTTACTTCCAGTTATTTTATCCTTGTATTTACCTATTTTTTTGTTCACATAATTCTAAATGATTTTTGTATTTTTACAATTATTTCAAACATTATTCCTTTCAAAATCATTTTTGGTAATTGATTTAACTTTTGCAAGATTTAATTGAATGGCAGATATTTATTTTATTTTTGGGTATTACGTTATACGCTATCTTTTCTATACTTTGATCAACATCAATTATGAGTAATAAGATAACTCGAGTCATAATTATTTGCAATCAATCATTTTTTGTGGTCAATATATTCACTATTGATTATTTTAATTTTTTTTATATTAAATCATATATTATTTTCAATCAAAAGTAGCGTTATACATATGATGATTAGTAATTAATTGTTCATAAACTATAGTTCTTACATCTTTGAAGCTAGTTCCAAAAATATGGTTTAAACATGTTCCCATTGCTGGTCTTCTGATACCTACTAGTGATAACTGGTATAAAACTTACTCCCAACAATAATCAGGTTTCCACTGTTTCTGTTTTTGAAATGAATGATACAAGACAAGATACACTCAATTAACATTATCATGTGTTCATAGGTTTCCAAATTAGTCATTCTCCATGAAGAAGCCGAAGATGGCATCCCGATGCCAGATCTCGAACAGCCAGTGCGCTCTGTCAGCAGTGCAGTCTCGAATTTGGTTAAAGTATGTAATTTTTTTTTGTGATATATCTGTTTTATAATAAAAATTATCTCTCAGGTTGGCAGAGACACAATTAACAGTTCAGACGACCCCATTTTACGTCAAGATATGCCTGCGGCTTTGGTCAGAGTTGAAAGGTCAGCTAGATTATTGGAAGACGCCAGCGGTAGGCTGAAAGGTGATCCTTTTTCAGCTCCAGCTAGAAAACTGTTGATTGAAGGCAGCGGTGGGATTTTACAGGTACATTTTAACTTAAACCAGTAAATTTTGTCCAATATTTTAATTTTACAGGCTACATCAGCTCTGCTTTTATGCTTTGATGAATCGGAAGTGAGAAAAATCATACGAGAATGCCATAGAGTGCTAGACTATTTGGCTGTTGCCGAAGTGATAGAAACTCTGGATGAGCTGGTGCAATTTTTAAGGGATCTTAGTCCGTGTTTGAGCAGAGTTTCTCGGGAAGTTAGTGCTAGGGAAAAGGAATTGACTCATCAGGTACGGAATGCTACATTTTCCTGCAATAATTTATAATTTGAACTAGTTGTTTCAAGGCACTATTTTTAGAAGGTTGTAAAATTGGGAACAAATAGATTATTGCAGGCTTGCGTGAGTCATTGCTGTGCCAAATTTTATTGTGCTGTTAAAATTTATTAAAATAACTTCATAAAATTTTATTCTTCATGAAAATAGGCGGCAAAATTTTTTTTAGCTTGGTATTAAAAAACCCAACAATAAATTTTATTTCCCTAAAATGGGATTTCAAGATAAGATCCATGACTTACGATAATGTCTATATTGGCTATCGAAATGTCATAATCAAATATACAATTGGCGATAGAAACAGTCAATATCGGTTTGTCCTTAGGTTTTTAAAAAAATTATATTTACATAATAATTATTATAATTGTATTGATTTATCAATCAAGCAAACTTTCTAGCTTACTACATGTAGAATACTGATCAGTGAACTAATATAATATGTTATTTAAAAAATCATGTGAGCTTATGGTTTCTGGGAGAGAAAAAGAGTAATAAATAGGATGGACTCTGGATATTTTCCAGGAAAGATCCTATTTTTTATTCTTGAAATACAATTTTTAATATTTAGTTTAGTTATTCTCCAAATATATCACAAAGGAAACTTATATTTGTGTATTTATTTGGCTTAATAGTTATTCACTTCCATTGGTGGAAATAGTACTTTCTCTGTTGTCTTTTCTAGTGTTGAGTAAAATATGAATACACTTCACATAACTGGTTATAGAAAAGGTTCACTTAAAAAAAGCACATATTTCAAATTATTCCTATTTTTCTAGGTTCACTCTGAAATCCTTATTCGATGCCTGGAACAAGTAAAAACCCTAGCGCCAATTTTAATCTGCTCTATGAAAATTTACATCCACATTGTCTCCCAAGGAGGTAAGGGAGCCGAAGAAGCTGCTGAAAACAGAAACTACTTAGCACAGAGAATGACAGATGAAATTAATGAAATTATAAGGCAAGAATACTTTTACATCATTAATTTATCAATAAATAAATTAAATTTGTAGAGTGTTGCAGTTGACAAGCTATGACGAAGAACAAAGCGACCTAGACAACTTGACTGTCCTAAAAAAATTACAAAACGCCATCCAGAACAAACTCAATGCAGCTAACGATTGGCTACTAGACCCAAACGCCGTCCGAGGAGGTGTAGGTGAAAAATCACTTCGACAAATCATCGAAGATGCCCAGAAAGTATCTGAAAGGTGCCTACCGCAAGATGCCCATAACATTAACAAAATATGTTCAGATTTGACTACTATGACGGATGCTTTGTGCGAGCTTAGGCAAGATGGCAAAGGTGCAACGCCACAAGCCGAGTCGTTGGCAAGAGGAATTCGAGAAAAGTTGGGTGAGCTGCAACAAGCTGTCAATACTGCAATTGTAAATGTTGATAAAACTGGGCTGCAACAAACTGCTCATACTGTTCAAGGAAGGTAAGAATTGTGTGCAAAAAAACAAATTCATTCTAAGTTTCTGATGTATTTATTTTGTGTGTCTCCTGTATAGGTTGGAACAGGCCAGGAAATGGTTGTCAAATCCTGGACACGATGATAAAGGATTGGGACGGAGAGCTATAAATGCTATTGTAGATGAAGGACGAAAGGTAAATAATATAGATAGACTTATCTTTATCTTTAAGTAGTGACTTATTAGTCGAAAAAATGTTACTATGCTTTGGTATGAATTTCAAAGGAGCGTTGATGCATTTCAAATGATTTCTAACTTTAACCTGCGAGTAATGTCAGTTCTATTTGCTCACCACACACATAATCTGCTCAATTCACTTTTCCTTATTATAAATATCGTTGCTCGCTTAGAATTGTTAGTTGAATTATAATTTTATTTCTTATTTTTAAACCTTTGTAACGCGAAAGTACTTCATTGTAATTAAGTGAATAAATTGTTTTTTAAAAACTTGTTATCGGCCTATGTATTGATAACTTGCGGGTAATTTGATATCATATATTCACATGTTAGAACATTTATAGACACCCTGGACCATGCATTTCCGCTTCGAAATGCCAAAAAAATTTAATAACATTCCAAATTGCACTCGTGTCTACTATAGATGTCTCAGTCGAACTCATTGCTCCGACTTAGACATTTTCTCTACCCTGGGATTTGACAAATACTGTATATTTTTCTCTTTTAGGTCGCAGATGGTCTTCCTGGTGTCCAAAAAGCTGAAATCCTACAACTATGTGACGAAGTAGACTCCTTGTCTCGTCAATTAGCGGATCTGTGCGCCCAGGGCAAAGGAAATTCGCCACAGGCTCAAGAAATCGCCAGAAGGTAAATACCTATATTTACACCTATCCAGGATTATTTTAGACAAATAAAACCAATAAAAATTAACCATTATTTTTCGATTTTGTTTTCAGCAAGGCTGTAGTAAGGTAAAAAAGGGCTACTTTACAAAGGAGGGTGCTAATTTTTTAAAAAACAAAGTAACGTTTTTGATTTTTGTTTATTGAGTCACCAACACCTTATCATAATACTTACAAGCACGAACAAAGTATATTTTTGAATAAAAATTCATTATTTATGGGTTCTTGTATGATAAATCCTAGCCTTATTATACAGGGCGTACTATTTTTGTATGTTTTTGGCATTACTATTGTTCTAGCAGAGATGTTTTGGAAATATATGGTGATTTTAGAATTAACCCCTTTTTGCTATTGGATGGCCAAAACAATACTTACTAATATAACAATTATTCGTAATTTGAAACCACTGAAATTCAGCAATTCATAATTTCAATTTAGTATCTCCTTAAACAGCTATATAAACATGCCAAAACATAGAAATCCAGGACATCCTCTAAGTAAATGTTCACCTTAGCACCAAAAATTAACAAAATAAAATCCATTTTTGTATTTTAGTCTTGCACTGGTTAGTCTTAAAAGTGTCAAATGTTACCTACAAAACATTCATCGATAATTTTTAATTTTACATCTTTTGTTAGATTGTCCCAAAAACTACACGAACTCAAGGAAAAAATCCAACAAGCTGTGACCAATCGTGTCGTAGAAGATTTCATCGATATTGTTACACCTTTGAAGTTATTCACTGAAGCCGTTTTAGCTCCAGAAGGTACCCCGAACCGTGATCAGAATTTTTCTGATAAGGCTTCGAACTTGCAGAGCTTCAGCAATAGGGCCGTTAAAACTGCTAGAATGGTTGCTGCAGGTAACAATCTGTGCCGTGTATATTCGAATATTTAAATATGCGAGTTTTAGGTGGTAGTGGTGGAAATAAGAAATTAGCCGAAGCTTTGAGCAGTGTAGCGAATCAAGTTGAAAGTTTGACACCTCAACTTATTTCTGCTGGCAGTATTCGCATGAATTATCCCACCAGCATGGCTGCCGATGAACATTTTGAAAATTTACGTCAGCAATATGCCGATACAGTTACAAAAATGAGGAATCTTTGTGACGAGGCTACTGATTCTGCTGATTTTATCAAGGCTTCAGGTAACAAAACATTATTTGATAATGTTCAACTGATATTGATGATTCATTTCAGAGGAACAAATGAAAAAACATTCATTTCTGTGCGAAGAAGCCATCAAAAATCGTCAACCACAAAAAATGGTTGATAATACATCGGCCATTGCACGTTTGGCTAACCGAGTGCTTTTAGTGGCCAAGCAAGAGTGTGATAACTCTGAGGATCCTAATTTCATTGATCAATTGAATAGGGCTTCGGACTCTTTACAAGGAGGTAAGAATTTGTATTCTTCATTAGTTAATGACTTTTTTAGCCTGACAATCCAGAAAAATAATCGCCTATAAAAATTATAAGACATCACCATCAGAATTATTTAATTTTCTCTAATCAGAATGAAATGAAATATATCTTTATTAAATAGGTTGGTACACCTTATATACATAAAAATACAATATAAGAAAAAATGCCCATTAGACATACAAGTAACTATCTACAAAATATAAGTAAAAACCTCACGAAGATAGCAGCACATTACTCTGGTTCACCCAATCATATCAAGATGCAATAATAGATTAATTAATTTTTAGCCTGAATGTAATCCCTCAGCCCATCTTTGAAACGCTGAACTGAGGGAAGTCCCTTGATATCATTTGGAAGACTGTTAAATTCCTGAAAGCCCTTAAAAAACGATGAGTTCATTGTACTCTTAAAATTCGTTCTTCGAATAAAGAGATGATCATTATTCCTTGTAGGATAATCATAGATATCACTAATAAAAACAACAAACTGTACAAAATAAGGTGGTGCTAACTTATTTACAATTTTGTATACAAATATCATATCATCCTGATGTGAGACGCTGCGCTTTCAATATAACTCATGCCACGATTCTGGAGCTTCTCAAGTCTGTAAGTTTGGTTTAAACTGAATATTTTCAGCAATGATGCAGTCACAATGGGATTGAAAGCTAAGTAAATTGTCAAGTTGCATTCCCAAATATTTAATACATGTTACAAATTCAATATTCTCATTATCTATCATTAATTGAGGATTAATGTCTACACTTTTCTGATATTTATACTTAGATGCAAAAATCATCGCATTTTTTTTTTTGATGCATTCAATTTCAATTTATTATTCCTCAAGTATGATTCTGTCTCTGATAAGACACCATTCATTTTTTCTATTGCTTTGCTGAGATCATTATATTGATAAAGTCCAACAAATACCATTTTAAAGTCACGTTATTTTTCTCTATCCTTGTTGAATACATCTTAAACAGCGGTGATAGTAAAATTGAAAAAAAAATTGGTGTCTAATTATTGTTCATAATATTCTTACCTGAAATATCCGTCACTGTCATCAATTAGTTTGTCAAAGTTATTTTCCAAAATGATACAACAAACAAACACAACTAATAATTTTGACTATATTAACCTTTTTCCAACTCGAAAAGAAGAAAATAGAAAACGGGTACCCAATTCAAGTTCAGAATGTATTACAACGGATAGCAGATGCGACAAAAGTGAGTCTCGCAACAATTGCAAGTATTAAAATTCCCATCTGATTGGTCAATACTACTTCAAAAATGCGTTTGTAAATGCTAGTGGGAACATATCTTAAAATTCAATAGTAATTAACCACCAGTAGCTTTTTGTAGGTGATATCAACGACATAATCAATGGATATACGTTTTTTGCCACCAATATCACGAGACTTTAAAATGGTATTTGTCGGACTTTATCATTGATGTATAGTATGAAAATAAGAGGTCCCAACACACTCCCCTGCGGTACTCCCATATAATTACTTATTTCTTTAGATCCCTCTCCATTAAATCTTACTTTTTGTTTTCTATTACTTCAATAGTCTGCAAATCATTCCAAAACACTACCAGCAATACCATAATTTTTAAATCATCTCCAAAACCTCATCTATAGGTGCCAATGTTTCTATTGCACGAAATTCACTGGCGTCCATAGTATTATTGACCTTCTGCATTGGAATAATATTACTACACTGTATTAATATCAGGTACTTTACCAGTCCTAAGAGATGTGATCGGAAGATTCAGAATAACATGATCAATGGTTTCCAATATGGACCTAAGAATCTTAGCATTCAACAATTCATGAACAGAACATTTATTATCAAGCCTATATATTATTTTTCGAGCATCACACATATTCAAAAACTTAAACATAGAAATCTCCAAATTCAAATTTGCATCAAGATTGGTTCATTTCTGACCATTTTGCATGTTTTCTATACTGCTAACAAAATAAAAGTTAAAATTTGCTGCAATCTCCGAACATTCTCTGAGAGTTTTTCGTACATTATTAATGTCAAAGGAGATACAATTTGGGACCTCAGAACTTCCCGTGCCAATCACACTCTTCAGTGTCTTCTATATCTATCTTCTCACAGTAATACCTTTCTTTCTTTAACCTATGAAGATCAATTGCATTGTTCCTGTGAGACTTAATCTCTTGCCGCTTATGTTGCTTTTCGTTCTCATTTGCATTTCTAAAAATTGTATAGGCCTTGTTATGATCTTTAATTTTATCGAAAACTTCATTATCAAAACAAGGTAAGTTAGATTTATACTTGCAAGTTTCTACAGGAGCAACATTGTTAATTATCCTACCACAGTTTTCCAACAATTCATCAAAAACACTTTCAACATCAATAGAGGTCAAATTCCATTCACACAACAATAAATTCAACTTTATAAAGCCCAATTTATAAACTCGCCATCGAGATTCCGTTTGCGTTTGTGTTTGTGTCGAGCACGCCGTTACCAATTGAATATTAGAAATCCCATAAGATCGTTTATATTCGTCGTCGACCTCACAGTTCGCCGTAAGCATAGAGACTACGGTAACCAGCGAGGCCGACGCAAATGGAATCCCGGCGGCGAGTTTATAAATTGAGCTTAATATCCATGTTTTTCTCACCAGTATTTCTATATTTCTTTACTTGATCATTTATGTATGATTCATTGCAGAAATTAACACTAATAACAGAGTCATCGACAATCCTTGGAGCATCGTGTACCTCCACCTTCAAGCCGTTTTGATTTGAGAGCCCAATATCATCCAAGGTCTCACCAACATTGGTAACTCAACTCGTGTTGGTACAGTGACCAACTGATCTATTCCAATGCAGAAATTTATCTGCCGTATGCTATAAAAACTAAATTCAAACTGACGGAACTGATTCCAACTCTGAATCATAACGTTTCTGAAAATTCATAAATCCCAAACGTAGATCTTTCACTTTACCTACAAGTCTATATTTAAGTAATGAGAAATTTGAAATGGGTATTGACAATTTGTTCTGTACCTCAGCTCTGTTCACTCTCAACTACACCAAACTACCAATAAAAACTTTCACATAAGGACACCAATATAATATATCAAGCTATAGAATATCAATTTCTGACATATACAGTGAACTTTCCAACTTATTGTCCGTCGATTTTATTCTGATACTCGGACGGAATGTGACCTGGTGGCACTCTATATTGGAACGCCAATGGTTACCTGACGTCACACCTTTTTTTGCCATATGAAACACCCCCTTGCTCCTCATACGGAAAGTGTCAGTTAAAAATCGACGAACAATAAATGTTTGTATTTCCTGACAACATCCATCTTATTCTCCGGAAAAATTGCTCTTTTATCATTTCTGGACCTCTAAATTTGATCTTCAAAAAATTACTAAGTTCTGGTAAATTTCTTGACAATTCACAAGTTTGGAGTCATTTCCAATATAAAAAACTACAGGCCAATCAGTTTATTGAGAGCAATAAGGAACTTGCAAGTGAATTAAAATTTTCCAAATTTGTTTTAAATCGATAGTTTATATTGCATTATATTTATATGATCAGTTTTTATTTAACTGATACCGCCCTAGTTAAACAGAAAATAATGCTAAATTTGAAAGAAAAAATTTCCCGCCAAAACAATGCTTTCATGATGGCTACCTTTTTTGATGTCACGATTTTGTAAACAAACCTTTCAATAGGGAACTTGCAAGTGAAATAAAATTTACAAAAGCAATTCTTTACAATATTCTTCATCCATTGCGACAATTTTCACAGAAAGCAAACTTTAGCACGCATAACACAAAAATAGCACTGCGTCAGCAGGAGTTCGTTTGCTGCGTTTGTTGTTTACAAAATCTTGACCTCATGAGCGCTGTCAAATTGAAACCTGGCATTTTCGCACCAAAGTTTTTAATTTAAATTTCAATAATTTTTTTTTCCTACAACGAATAGATTAAAATGGAAAAAAAGAAAACTGTGTAATATCTGATCACTGAAAGTATCTAAAAAAAAAAAAAATTGAGAAATATGAAAACTCCCTATTCCAAAAATCTTGGAAAAATGTTTCTGTTATGAACAGAGTATGAAATAAAATGCCTCCTTATGTAAACTTGGGCGCTTATAATTTAACTCCCACCTTTTGTTATGTTTGAATAACTTCAATGATACTAAGCTTTTGAAATCTATTTCTGGGAAGCGCTTTTGTGAATATACCTGCCTGCTGTTCTCGTGTATTCACATATTTGTTTGTCGTTTTTAATCTGAGACTTTCCGTAATCCGGCCAATCCGGGCAAACCTAGTAGCTTGAAGCATGCAGTTATTACTCCCATATACAAATCTGGCAATTCTAGCTGTGTTGAAAACTATAGACCTATAAGTCTTCTGAACTCAGTTTCCAAAATATTTGAGAGATTGCTCTATGATAATATTCTGCTTTTCTTTAGAGACAGCTTCTCCCCAGAACAGCATGATTTGTTGCCAACTTTGGTTTCAAGGCATGTATGTATGTGTGGTCATATCTTTCTGGCAGGTTAAACCAGGTTAGAGTAGGAAAGAGCATGTCTGAGTCTTTTATATCTACGTCGGGGGTGCCCCAGGGTAGCAATTTGGGTCCCCTTCACTTTGCTATATTTATTAATGATTTGCCAAGATGTGTTAAATATTCAAAAAGCATTCTATTTGCTGATGATTTCAAAATATTTGAGGAGATCTCAACACTGCGGGAATCACAAGAGCTACATTGCGATTTAGATTCAACTAGTCAGTGGTTCAAGGATAATAAAATGATGCTCAACACTTCTAAATGTCAGATTTTTACAATCACACGAAAAACACAACTTTGGCTTCATTATTCGGAACTCGAAGTATTTCAAAAGAACTGAAACAATTATACTATTTATTGTACAATGCACTAGTAAGACCCCACTTAGAATATGCATCTGT